TGGGGCACCATTTATGTTATTTGGTCCTTTTAGGACCTCGTATTGACACTTGTCACATGTGATTATTTATGAGTTTTTTGGCACTATTTAATATTGTGTGTTTGTTATTTGTGTCACTAATTTTGCACTGTTTCACTTTTTCATTTATGTGTGAAGAATTTTTCTGGTAGTAGCGCATCATTTGTGTTTCATTTATAATTTTTGTCTATGGGTATATGACTGTATGTAGCAGCTTTACCTTTGTTGGTAGGTATTAGTTTTTAGGTAGGAGCGCAGGAGTTTGTCACATTGGTTCTCACAAATCTAACCACATTTATACACCCAATGCAGAAAGCTAATAAGCCATCAATTCAGTGTCACATTAAATATGAAACTGGACATAGATATTTAAGGCCTCCACAACAGTGATCAGTCAAGAAGATAATAAACCTAATTATAAAAATATCAAGAAATTAGGAAAAAGAACAGAAGAAGCAGCATAAATTCAGAGGGGGAAAAGAGATGCGGGGGAGGGTAAGTGGATAGAACAATAAAAAGAGGAAGAGGGAAGAGGAGGATAAGAGAGGGAGAAGATAAGAGAAAAAGAGGGTACAGGGAAAAGGGGAAAAGAAAGGGAGGGGAGTTCATGGTTCGAGGAACACCTTTAAACTCATTTCGTTATTAAATCCTAAACTGATCGAAGTTTGAATTTTGAAAATCCAACTTTTTTCTTTCCTCAATAGCACAGTGGCATAAAAGTCCTTGACCCTCAGGCCAGTTGTTTTACCTCTATGGAATTCAATGAAATGTAGGGACAATGGTGTATCTTCATTTCTTTGTTATGTGTATAAATGTGGTTAGATTTGTGAGAAACGTAAAAATCAGGCTGTGGTTTTTCCCTTCTTTTAAATATTATTTGAGGAATATATGTCTGCTGTCTTTTTAAACATGGGACCGCCCCCACCATTACAATTGGCTGAATGGGCCGGCAGTCCCTTTAAAGGGTCGGGGTATGTAAGTCCTGGTGTCCTGACAAAACTCATGGTCATGTGGGCGAAACGCGTTGACGTAGGCAGCGTCAACAAGCTCTAGGCCATGCCCCCACCGGCGGTGATGTTCCAAGCCGCCCAACGCTAACAGTGTGGATGGCGCAAATACCCTCGCACTTTCTACACATGGATCTCAGCATTGAGCACTTCACAGTAGCATGACCTTTGGTTGGTGTTTGGAAGCCGTTTACTTACGGTTCAGTACAGAAGGACACCCTGTATCCACTTTAGTATATCCCCTGTGTGTAGGACGAGACATCACTGAGGAGAGCACTACCAGCACGTTGGAGTGGTAAGAGCTTGCGGGCTTACCTATGTGGCTGTTGTCTCAATCTTTGTTGTACATTATTGTCAGACTATACGATCAGAGGCCTCACCTTACTTTAAGGGTCATTATTTACACCCTATGGACCAACTTTAACTCCACTCTGCTATCATTATGTGTGCCCCTCAGGATTGCCTATTAAAGGCGTAGTCTACACATGGACATCTCTGAGCTGGCTTATTCAGCCCTCCAACCAACAAATGCCCAGGTTATGGGCTTTGCCAGCATGTCCTCTCTCTAGTCTGGCAGGCCACCATTCCATCACCTAAAGGGGTATCCCCAGGGGTGGACTGATCATTTGGAAACTCGGGCACTGCCCGAGGGCCCGGGGTCAATAGGGGGGCCCCATGAGATGCCCCTGGTACCTTTTTCATAGGCTTTTTTGCGTTTGGGCAAGGACACAGGGGTCCCATGATCCCCTATTGCCCGGGGGCCCCATGAGTTGTCAGTCCGCCCCTGGGTACCCCACCGTCTCTGGTTTCTGGACATGGACTTCAAACACTGCCCTTATCTGGTCCCACTGTGGCTATATCCTTTTTAATTAGATGTGTACTATATGTTATTCATCTATGTTGCTGTTGATTACCATTAAATCTGGTCAACAGTCAGTATATAATTCCAAGTGTTTGAGGTCTGGGTAGCCAATTGAGTCACTACTGTGCAGACCGGCACCCATTGATTGTTACTCTGGAGATTTCTGGCCTGATTGGTTATGCTCTATATGAGACAGAGTATATGATATCTAGCGTATGTAAGTGGATGTGCACTGCCTGGGTTTGGTTTTTATTAAGGAGATAATGTTATCTTGCCTTTTTTTTTAATGGTGTCTGGAGGATTGTTGGCTAATTAGCCTTTATATTAAAATTGATCTCAATAAAGCTGTACAATTGTTTACACCGTGGCTGGTTCTCTCTATATAGCCTCATTCTGGGGGGGCCTTCTTGGTTTCCTTGAAATTTCCAAAGAGATAGTAAACCTCTAGAAATTCCATCTTACCTGGGTAAGGACCATTAAATGGTAAGGTTGAGAGGAAATTAGGTGATACTTTGGCCAGATAAGTCACCTTTCTGCTTTTGGCTTATTCATAAAGCTCTTAATTTTGCATAACACTGGTGCTGATGAGTTCAAAACACTATTATGCAAGTAACCAGATGTGGAAATCTTTAGATGTTAGTGATATAAACATTTTGTCTGCATCTATACACTTCAGGGTCAAAATTATCTACTTATATACCGCCTTTGAAAAGCAAAAAAAAATCAAATCTTATCAAATCCTTTGATGTTTTGCTTTAGTTTTTTTTTTCCATTTCTATTAGGTGCCTTGTCTTTCAAAGAACAGGTACCTGCTTACTGTTATATTTATTCAGTATAAAATCACTCCTTTGTGCAACCCTCTGAAAATGATTTCTCTTTGCAAGGGCTTGAATTTTCACATTTCAGGTTTAAACCCCACACCCTCCATTCCCCCTGTCCAGTGAAAGTTCCTTTATTGGCAACTGAGACACATTTTTTGGACAAGAGGATAAGAGGGTATGTGGATTCCTGGTCAGAAAAGTGATATTAGAATGAGAGGAGAACACAGAACATGATTTTCCCTTTTAAGATGATGCTCCTAGTCTGTGTTTTTGCTTGGTAGACACATTTGATTCAAAGCCCACGTTTTTATTTAATATTAAAAAAAAAATCAGCAGAAGGAGCATTATTTACCTTTAGTGAAATGTGTCCTTTGTGTTGCTTTGCCCTCCTTTTGCTGAAATCGTCCTCCTCCAATGCCTCCCCAGCACCACTCCCCACCTTCTGCTATAGGTTTTTGCTGTGGCAGAGGATTAATAGGACTAAGGGGCTGTGACTGGCATTCTTCATTCTCATCATTGATTATAATACTGAACTTCAGTCTTACTTTATGGGCTTGTTCACATTTTCATTGAGCTACATTTTTTATGCATACCACCTCAGATGTATGGTGTGAACAGAGTGCATGGAAAACAAATGCCACCTGCCCATGAAGGCATTTTGTATTGTCATAACTCCTCCTCAAGAGCCAGCCCACTGTTTGCATGAAAGCAGAGGGTTTTCGAATATATACAAACCCTGGGAAATGTGTCACAACTTGGTGAGTGACCCTTAAAATATAATAGTAGGAAGTGTCAGGTGTGCAGACGGCAGTATTTACCACTGGCTCACCATAAAATTATTGAACAAGTATCCCACCATCCTAACATTTAATTACCTACATGCTAAGTGGAAAAGTCCCAAAAGGTGCTCAAACCTGTCTTATAATGAGATGCTGTAATTTGAAAATTGTTTATGGTTTGAAGAAGTTTTTTTGCTAAATTATTCTACATTGAAAAGGCTCCACAAAAAATGATAGTAAATTATGTTATTTGATCCAAACAATTCTTTGTAGTTTATCACCAAAATACAATACCATAGCTGTTTTTTTCAAATATAGCAAGGCTTTTATGTAAGCATGAAGAGCATTATAATTTGTATATTTTCTTACGAAATGAGGTTATAGTGCATCCCATAAATATTTAAGCACTTGCCTAGTTCTGGATTGAATTTTCAATGCTGTTTGAGCAAAACATAAGCAAGTGGACATTAAAATAACAACCCAAGATAAGCAGAAGTCAATATTGACATTAACAATCAGCTACACCCAACCATGTTTTCTTTAGTTGTTTAAAGTCAAGACACCAGTTTTTCTGTAATTTTATTTTATTGGCAAATTATATAAAAAATCCAATGAGTAGAGATATTTATATATATAACTTTTGTGAGAACTCAAACTCTAAAGTGCTGCAGTCATTTTAACTTGCTGTGTGATATATTTGCATTTATGAAAAAGGTAAACTTGCCTGTAAATCAGGAGAAAGCAGATAATTTAATGGCAAAATCAGATGGTCCACTGCTGTTCCTTTTCAATTACATTTCTGAACAGTATACACACATACACTCATATCCATCCTTCGCCAGAAGAGTAGTCAGAATCGCTGTGGCTTTGTGCTAGTTATATGATTGATAAAAAAAATGTTTCAAGTAAAATAAATCAAAATCTTGTCCTTGGCTTGTGCACAAACCTGATCTTTTTATATCCATATTCATATACTGGGAAGGCAGTGGTACCTTTTGAACATCTGTGAATGTGACTTTAACACATCTTTAATTTTGCTTTAAGTTTTCATTTTCCTGTTTTCAATTTGGCTTTGCTCAAGGGTGCTTACATACCTCCTTGTTTGGGCAATTTATTTATTTTTGGCTCCAAATGATATACATTCTGAAGAGCACACTTCTTTACTTAGGAAAGGTAATCTTCTTTATGCATTTTAGGGGAACATCAAAGGGTGTGCCCTCATGTCCAATGAGAATATCACATACCTTAACCAAATCAAAAAGTTTCCTTTTAGAATTGATGAAATGTTTCCATAAGTTGTGGCAAGATCCAGGCAGTTACACAATCAACCAAATTTAATACCAAATTAAAAATTAAATATTCTTCTTTCCTCATGCTGAAGAGGAAAAAATGCTTGCTCATGGCTCATTGATAAAGAATAAAACAGTGTTTTTTTCTGTTCTACCGCAACAAAATTAATCCTTGCACCTGTGTCATGGAAAGGATTGCTGTAACACTGAAGTATTGGCATTTTCTACACTACACTTTCTTCAAGCTCATCTGAACCAGTAAATAAAACTGGTTTTCCCTTGGGTAGCTCAGTCCCGCAGTGTGAAAGCATGCCATGGACAGACTGACTTCTCTTTGTCCATATAATGCTTAGTCGTTTGGCATAGCTGTAACAAGTGGTGGTTGCCATCTCTCCCATATCTACAGAACAGCTACGTTTGGTTTTTTGAAGAACAAAACCAGCCTCAGGGCTTGATCTTGCATTTAGTCCCTTAAAATCTGAAGCCTTAATAGTTTTGTCTTCTTGTTTCTCGGATGCTTCTCTGTGTCGAGTCCTTCTACGTTGAGGTTTCACTCCATGTATAACCCTTCCAGTATCTTCTTTATACACCACTTGAGAACAACTGGCTTTGGCAGACTCATTGTTAAGTCTGCATTGCAAAAGCATACCATTGGGCATAATCTGGCTTCCATTGGTCTGTGAGTATACATTAGTAACTTTTGGAATGTCTGAACGAGCAGTACTGCAAACCTTGTATTTGACCATCATTACAACCGTAAAAACCAATAGGGTAACCACAATGACTCCTCCAATAATAATGGTTAAAGTGCCTCCCAAGAAATGAGCATGCAGTAAGCGGCAGTCTGGGTATGCCTCTGCTGTGGAAAACTGGACACATCCTAAGGACTTAGTAGCAGCCAAGGAAGTTGCAACGTCATCAAAAATGGCCAAGATGCAAAGGTCATAATCTACTCCTGATACTAAGTGCTTCAAGGCAAAGTGCTTGGTTGTGGAAGGCAGAATCCTGTAAAAAAAAAAAAAAGTAATAATGTATTATTAATAAAAATGAAAAACAGAGTGGGGATTTACTAAAACCAAAGCATAAAGAATCCGGAGAAGCTGTATATATCAACAAATCCGCTTCTAGCTTCAGCTTGTTCGCTTTGAAAATAAAAGAGCTATATTGATTGTCATGCACAGCTCAACATTACATTACTGTACATTAATGTGATCAGTGATTTATAGAAAGTTTTAAAGAAAACAACAATATGCGTTTGTCTCAGCAGTGGGTCATTTTGTCATCACCCCTCCTGCTCTAAAGCTCAAATAAATACTTTCACTAGTAATAATGAATATTGATAGAATGTAATAATGGAATAAAGGAGCAGAAAAATAATTGGAAAAAAAAAATGAAAATTGTAGCATGTAGAGTAGAGGCATGCCTCCTTACATTGGAGGCCAGTAGAAAAATGTCCTCTTACTGTGGTGATCAGTAGGGAATATGCCTTTTAACACTTGTGATCAATAGAAGAAAAATTTTGTTACACTGGTGGTCAATGGAGATGTTTAATTTTAAATTAGGGATCACCAGAAAAGTGCCCTCTAATATAACAGTTAGTATACTGCCACCTTGCATTGGCGATTACTATAGAACTGACCTACCACTATTAAATGCAAATGTAAAATTCTGCCCCTAATATGGGTAGTTGGTAAAAATTATCAGTCTGCCATTGCTCATGAAACCCCTAACAACCTCTGGAGGAATCCCAGACTTCCACTGAACTCTGGTTAAGTGAGGCTGGCTTTAATACAGCTGCTGGCACCTAGCCTCTCTTGCTTCATTTACAGTAATGAACAAGGACTTTTTGGCTTCTTGCCAAGACATTGTAGTCTATATTAAAATCAAACTGAACGCTTTCCATCTTTTTTTAATTTGTTGAGAATGACTGTCAAGAGATCAATCATATGGTAAAACAAATCTTAAGAGATTTATTATCAATTTGGACCATATAGGTCTCAGCCACTAACAAAGATTAGTTCACAATCTTGGATTTTGCCCCAAATTCATATTAATCACTTTGTCATCACTCTACAAATTGAGGACTGTGGAGGCCCATCATTTTCTAATCTTTAGGGAATTATCTATTACTGGCACAATGTTGGACCTCTCCCACAAAACAAGTCTATGACTCCTTTTTCCCCCCTTTTTACTCTTCTGCAGACTTTATACTACTGTACTGAAATGACCTATGACGATTCTGTAATCAGATTTTCTCTTTAAAAATGTGTCAGATGCGATAAAATCAAACCGGGAACTAGGACAGCCAAAGCAATAAAATTATTAGTATCTTATATATGTTTGATTCTATATGTAGATATGTACATAGACTGTGCAAAGATATAATAACCCATTGTAAATATGTACACTAATGGAATTTTAATTAGTCATTAAATTCTTCAAATTTGCATATGTAAGGACAAATGTGCTTTTAATAGAAATTACATTATGACAAATGCTCAGAGTTGACTTTAATTTTTTTCTTTTTTTTGCTAAAGTCATAACCAGCCAAATAGATATGCTCTCACTGAATACATCAATTGCCACATTATCTTAATTATTATTATTATTCTTAAGTTAATACACTTTGAAATAATTATTGTAATGCAGAGCAATTGCTAGGTGTCTATGAATGCACAATTTGGTAGGGTGTGCTAACAACAGAAATGGAGCTCATTAATGGGATGTAAGTGCATTCTGGCATGCTTGCTTTTAGGACCAATACAGGCTTCGTGACACAGAACATTCCACTGCAGATAAATCAAGCTACTGTACTGTAGGTTGTTTAAAATTATTCTGTAAACATCTGTGCATTCAGAAGTTGAAGTAAATATCATAGACACACCTAAATATTAACAGCGGGTATAATAAGTATTAAGCATGTCATAATTTTTCTCAGTAAATATATTTCTACAGGTGCTATTGACATACGATTTTCACCACATGTCAGTAACAACCCATGCAATCCATACATACAAAGAAACCAAAACAAATAAGTTCAGAAATTAAGTTTTGTGTAATAAAATGGAATGACACAGGGAAAAAGTATTGAACACGCTAAGTGGAATTTCTTTAACCATTTGTAAAAAATCATTTGTAGGTAAAGACAGCTTCAAGATGCCTCCTGTATGGAGAAACCCATTACATGTATTGCTCGAGTGTGATTTTGGCCCATTCTTCCACACAAACATTCTTAAAATCTTGAAGGTTCTGTGAGCCTCTTCTATGAACTCTGATCTTTAGTTCTTTCCATAGATTTTCTATTGCATTCAAGTCAGGTGATTGGCTGGGCCATTATAGCAGCTTTATTTTCTTTCTTTGAAACCAATTGAGAGTATCCTTGGCTTTGTGTTTAGGATCGTCTTGCTGACATGTCCACTCTCATTTTATCTTCTTCATCATCTTGGTAGATGGCAGCAGATTTTTATCAAGAATGTCTTGGAACATTTTTCCATTCACCCTTCCTTCAATGATATGAATTTTGCCAGTACCTTATGCTGAATAACAGCCCCACACATGATGTTCCCACCTCCAAACTTCACTGTTGGTATGTTTTTGGGGTGATGTGCAGTGCCATTTGACCTTCAAACATGGTGTGTATTATGGCATCCAAAGAGTTAAATTTTGGTCTCATCTGACCAGACTATATTCTCCCGGTATTTCACAGGCTTGTTGAAATGTTGTGTAGCAAACTTTAAAGGAGCTTCAACATGATTTTTCTTCAGTAATGGAGTCTTGCGTAGTGAGCATGCATACAGGCTATGGTGGTTGAGTGCATTATTTATTATTTTCTTTGCAACAATCCTACCTGCTAATTCCATGTCTTTCTGAAGCTCTCCACAAGTGGTCTTTGGCTCTTGGACAATTCTTTTCACTTCTCTGTCTGAAATCTTACGGGGAGCACCTGGTCATGGCTGGCTTATGGTGAAATGATGTTCTTTCCACTTCCGGATTATGGTATCAACAGTGCTCACTGGCACATTCAGAAGTTCAGAAATCCTTCTGTAACCACTGCCATCAACAATAAGGTTGTGAAGGTCTTGAGAGTGCTCTTTGCTTTTTCCCCGTCATGAGATGTTTGTTGTGTGACCCCTTGAAAATGAGACATCTTTTTATACACCATCAGTTGAGACTGAACCAGCTGATATTAATTTACACTGACAAGTTGCAAGATTTCTTTCTAATTACAGATAGATTTCAGTTGGTGTCTTGGCTTTCCATGACTTTGTGTACCTCCATTTATTCATGTGTTTAATAATTTTCCCCTGTGTCATTCTATTTTATTACACATTACTAATAGTTTCTAATAAAATAAAAATCAATAATTTTTGAACGTATTTGTTTTGGTTTCTTTGTATGTAATATATTTACCTAGAAAAATGGTAACGTGTTCACTGCTCATTTTGCCCGCTGTAGAACCATATCTTTAACCTTACTACTAATGTAACTTGTCCTACAATTGCATCTTACTGAGAAGCTGAATATTCAAGTAAACCTCTAGTTAAATGTTATGAATCCAGAAAGTAAGCAGTTTTAAGTGAAAGAGTACTATTCAGGTATTCGGTGACTATACTATCTAGTTTCTTCTGGTTAAAATATCATTAACCAGCATAAACTGAAAGGGAAGGGGAATATAATTTATTATTAAAGTTTGTTGTGATTACTATCATTTCTTGTTCTCAATATGTAATTGTTAAATAAAAAGTACTGTTGGTTGGTTTTATCAAACCATCATCACAGATCAGCATATACTAACGTGGCCATGCTCTGAAGTTCCTGTCAGCCTATCCTAACCGTATTATTTTTTTTTTTTTCATCTTGATGCAAGCTACCTGTTGGTAGATGCAATAATTCCTCATTAAAACAGAGCTCCACCCAAAAGAGGAAGTTCCAGTTTAAGGCTTCTTCCCCTGCTCTCCGTTAAGGATTGGCACCTTTAGGGAGTGGGGCAGGTGGGAGGGGGGACCCTAATTTGATGGGTACCTGCTCCTACTTCCGCTGCGTAGTCTTGGAAAATGTGACAGGTCCTAGAAGACTACAGGACCATTCACAAAGCGCAGCGCTACTCAGACAGTATGAGGACAGGGCATCAAGGGACAGGTGAGAGTTTTTTAAAAGTCAGCAGGTACAGTTTTTGTAGCTGCTGACTTTTATTTATTTTATTTTGCCTGCACCTCTGCTTTGGGTCAAACCATTCACCCAAGGTCCAAACTTTACTTAAGGACTGTCTTATATTACCCTTCATTACCAAGTCATTTTTCAGTGTTGTGATAATTTGCTCACAATTACTTCATCATGCAACACTGAACAAATTAGTATATATACAGTAGCAAAGGTTTTAAGTAGGTGTGGAAAAAATGCTGTAAATCAAGATAGAAGTGCAAATAGTTTCTTTTTTAGCAATTAACAAAATGGAAAGTAAATGAACAGAAGAGAAATCCAAATCTAATCAATATTTGGTGTGACCATCCATTGCCTTCAAAATCGCTTACTTTTTTCTAGGTACATCTGCACACAGTTTTTGAAGGAACTCAACAGGTATGTTGTTCCACACATCGTGGAGAGCTAACCATAGACCTTCTGTGGATGTAGGCTGCCTCAAATCCTTCTGTCGCCTCATGTAATCCCGGACATTCTTGATGATGTTTAGATCAGGATCCTGTGGGGGCAAAACCATTGCATCTAGAACCCCTAGTTCTTCTTTACACTGAAGATAGTTCTTAATGACATTGGTTTGTATGTTTAGGGTCATTGTCCTGCTGCAGAATAAACTTGGTATGGCATGATGAATAAGTATCTGCCTGTATTTCTCAGCACTGGGGACACCATCGATCGTGACCAAATCTCCAACTCCATTTGCAGAAATGCAGTCCCCAACTTGCAAGGAACCTCTACCATGCATCACTGTTGCCTGTAGACACTCATTATTCCACTCTTCAGCCCTTCCTCGTGAACACACTACCTCCTCCTACGACCAAGTATTTCAAAGTCTGACTCATCAGTTCAGAACACCTGCTGCCATTTTTTTTGCACCCCAGTTCCTATGTTTTCATGTATAGTTGAGTAACTTAGCCTTGTTTTCACATCCTATGCATGAAAACATAGGAACTGGGGTGCAGAAAAATGGCAGCAGGTGCTCTGAACTGATGAGTCAGACTTTGAAATATTTGGCTGTAGCAGGAGGCAGTGTGTTCCCATGGAAGGGCTGGAGAGAGGTACATTAATGGGTGTCTGCAGGCAACAGTGAAGCATGGTGGAGGTTTCTTGCAAGTCTGGGGCTGTATTCCTGCAAATAGTGTTGGAGATTTGGTCACGACCAATAGTGTCCTCAATGCTGAGAAATACAGGCAGATACTTATCCATCATGCCTTACCATCAGGGAGGCATGGGATTGGTCCCACATTTGTTCTGCAGCTGGACAAGGACCCCAAGCACACAGCCAATGTCATAAAGAACTATTTTTTGTGTAAAGAAGGAGTCCTGGAATTGATGGTTTACCCCCCACAGAGCCCTGATCTCAACACCATTGAGTGTGTTTGGGTTACATGAAGAAAGAGAAGGATTTGAGGCAGCCTACATCCACAGAAGGTCTGTGGTTAGTTCCCTAAAATGTTTGCAATAGCCTATCTGCTGTGTACCTTTAAAAACTGTTTGCAAGTGTACCTAGAAGAATTGAAGAACTGATGCAGTTTTGAAGCAAACGGTGGTCACACCAAATATTGATTTGATTTGGATTTGTCTTCTGTTCATATACTTGCCATTTTGTTAATTCATAAAAAAAATAAACTGTTAACACTTCTATAGCTTGTTAACACCTGCCTAAAACTTTTGCACAGTTTTGTATATGTGTGTCTACGTATATATACAGTATATAAGTATATATATATATAATTTTTGTTTTAATGGATAGAGTGTTCTTTAGTGGTATTTCACCTCTTCAATACTGGCCACTTTCATTCTCTTCCTGCCCAGGCGAATTTTCAGCTTTCAGTGCTGTGACACCTTGACAATATGCACGGTCTTGCAATGCTGTAACCAAACTACATTATATTTTTTTTTAACACAAATAGAGCTTTCTTTTAGTGGTATTTAAGCACCACTGGGTTTTAATTTTTTTTTAAACAAATGAAAAAAGACTGAACATTTTTGGGACAGTAAGTTTTGTTCATATCCGTTCTAAAATTTAGCAAATAAGTAATTTTTATTCTTTACTGATGTGCACTGATGAGGCTGCACTGATAGGTACTGATAAGTCTGCACTGATGAGCATTGATGGCCCATGATGGGGAGGCACTGATAAGGCTGCACTGATAGGCGGTACTGATGGGCATGGACATGTACTGTATACTATTCACCTCCTGTTTCTTTAAAACTAAGTTTGTCTGGTATAGTGACATGATCAGCCTTGGAATTTTAATGGAATTATAGTAGCAAACTGCCAGAAAGTAAGTGAGGGACGAGTGCACAACATCACGTATATACATATTTTTGCATTTCCAGGTAGGATTTACCCCCCTTTCTTACCAAGCCATTTTTTTGCGATACAGCGCAGTGTTACTTTAACTGACAATTGCGCGGCCATGCAACACTGCACTTAAATTAAATTTATGTCCTTTTTTGTTTTCCACAAGAGCTTTCTTTTGGTGGTATTTGATCGCCTGTGCAGTTTTTATTCTTTGCGCTATAAACAAAAAAATACTGACTATTTTGATAAAAAAACAATATTTTTGACTTTTTGCTATGAAACATATCCAGTAAAAAAGATGTAAAAATCAAATTTCGTCATAAATTTAGGCCAAAATGATTCTGCTACGTCTTTGCTAAAAATAAAATCCCAGTACATGTAAATTAATTGGTTCAAATGGCGGTAGAGATACTGGAATGTTTTTTTTTTTTTTTTTCTACTAGTAATGGCGGAGATCAGCAACTTATAGCAGGACTGCGGCGTGCTTTCTTACACTGGTAGGAACTGATTTGGTGTCACTGACATCCCCAGTGACACCAATACAGTGATCAGTGCTAATAAAAAGCACTGACACTGTACTAATGGCACTGGACATGAAGGGGTTAACATGTGGGGCGATCAAAGGGTTAACTGTGTGCTGTTTTACTACGTGGGCTGTGTCTGTGTTTTACTTTAAGCACACTGCTATGCAGAGCCATACAAAGCAGTGTGCAGAAGCTGGCAGGGGAGAGATCTGTATTGTTTACATACAGGTCTCTCCCCCATCAGAGATACTTGCCGATCACAGGGTGCAGTCAAGTAATCACCGTCTAGGACCCGGTGATTGACAGCCAAAGTCGCACACGACCCCTACCTGGAACTGCAAAATCACGTATGTACGTGATTTTCTGCACCCCTGCTGCCCTGTAGCAGTATTTCTTCTCTAGGGCAGAGGGGAAGTAGTTAATACTGCATTTAGGCTGGCACCCCCTTCTGTTCCCTTTTTCATTTCTATAGAGTCGTGCTTCACTATATGGGGAGCTGCCACAATAGTGCTCATTTTATGCACTTTATGGAGTTTTTAATAATGTTGTATTCATATGTCACGGTGCTTATTGTTGCTTCTCAGCACCATCTATATTGTGTTTTTTCACAATACACCTATTAGTTGCAATGGATAAGAATATTGTCAGTAGAGTGACATGTAAATAGCAAATACATTATTATGGTGTGTTTTTCTTTAGGGATTTTTTAAAATATTTATCATACATAGCTATTATACAATCTGTTTAAGAAGCTGCTTTGAATACTTCATTCAGGGGCCTGTTAAGAGTATATCACTAGAATGTGCTTGCAGTTTTCAGCTAAAACTGCCCCTTCACCTAATAAGCTTGTAAAGCCCTAAAATCATTAAACCTGTCACTACCAATTTGCCAATGACTTACATGTTCTACTGAATGCTTAACCTTTTGTACTGTGTGTATAACTGCCAGTGTTTCAGTCAAGATGTCCATTGTGAACCAGTTGACATGTTGATTGATGCAGGCATAGGTCACTGCTTCATTGCAGTTGATGCATAATTATTATGTAACAGTGTATGAACAACCTTTACTGTAAGAATTACTAGAAACATCCATGTTTGCAAGTCTTATATACTTGCACTATTGTTTTTCTCCGATGTTTCTACTTCAGTAATCATAGTTTACACTCAATAATATACACATAATATACACACAATTTGACAATACACACAATTTATGTAGCTTTCTAGAAAATTGCAGAGTGTAGGTTTAAGCCACATTCGCTAAACTCGGAGCACTCCTGGTTGAGCATGCAGTGAGCTGAGTGCACAGCTGTCACAGAGGTTGACGCATGGCCACAGGAGTGTTGCTGAGCTGATGTATCACTTTTGCCCTGTGCTGCACATCTGAAGATTCTTCATTAGCCTTTTTAGCAAAGTATATGCTGCTAGAACTAACCTTTGTACCCTTATTGATCCAAAGATTTAAGCTAGTTTTAACAATTTGTTTTAGTTACTGGACATGTCATCAGTTCAGAAATCAATTTATTATCTTGTACAGAAGTACAGGTTTGTGTATAATTGTGTGCAGATTAAACAGCCAAAGTATTCAGCACACAGTGGCCAGCATGAAAGTGTATGTCTAAAGGGATGTTGGGGATGTGTTCTTTTATAAAATATTTATGAGAGAAGATTTGAGGCAGTGTACTGTGACATTTACAGGAGTTTTCCATCCCTCCTACCAAACATGGAGCAGAAACAAGCTGACAGACCCATTGATCACATCACTGGGTCTCAAACGAGGAATTTCTTCAGTACAAAATACATTTTAATTGCATGTTGACCAGGGGAAGGGGAGAACAAGGGGAGGTACTGTTTATATAATGCAAGCATTGTTCTGTTATTTATTTCTCTGTTTTGTAAGAGTTTAAAATACCTAGTGGTATTACTTAATTAGGCTTGTTTTATATGAAAGATGTAGCTATTCTAGAAGCTAATGAAAAAGCTGTTAAGCGGATGTCTGTTATTCTAAAACTAGACAGCGCCTACAACTATTTTTTTTTCAGTGAAGGGTATCTGGGCCAGGTATTTGGTAAAACTGTTCTTTCCATTTGCACACAGCAGCCATGTTTCTACTTATCAGAGTGTTCCCTTTTAATTCAAACTGGAGAAGCACCTCAGTGTCATAGGCAGAAATAACAAAAAGTGAAAAAAGAATTTAATGAAATTTAATGTGAATAGTGCTCTGCAAAGGTTAATATACTTTAATCCACAATGTATCACTCTATCCTCCACCAAAAGCAAAATTATTAACTTTGGTTTAATCTTATTTAATTACTTGAGAAAACTTACATTTAAAGGTAGTTTTTGTCAGTGATACAATTTACATTATGAAGGTTTTTTATCTGTTTTGTCTTACCTGTATACCAATGTTTCATCAGCTGTGCAATTGTACTGGATCTGGTACATCCATACTACATAGGCTGATCTGTTCATGTACCACCGTACCAATGCAGAGGAAGAAGTTACATCAGACACCACTACTGCATTTTCTGTTGTCTTTCTTTCTTCTGTGGTGTTGCTTGATGTCTTGGATGAAGTAGTAATGTCAGATGAACCAGGGTCCTGTCTCAGTACACTAACTGTTCCATTGTTGCGATGAGGCAAAGGAATCATTTTGAGGTCAACTTGGGCGGTTGATTCTCCAGCAGCATTAATTGCTATACAGGTATAGGCTCCATCATCCCTGATTGTGGTGACCAGTATATCCAAGGTTCCATTTCGGTAAGAAGCAGTCCTAGAAGAGTTTGGCATTATCTTATCATCTGGGGATACCCAGTGTAATAACAGGTTCTGGGTCTCCAATTGCCCGGCATTTTAGTGTTGCCCGTTGCCCTTCAAGTACCCAGAGTTGATGTGTATGACGAGTGATAAGAGGAGGCTCACAAGTAAACTCTTCCTCTGGTATAGACCAGAAATAACGTCCTGCTAATTGTGGAGGGGAAGCACATGTTTCCATATCATCCTCTCTCACCAGTCGCCGTAACCATAAGAGTTCACAGTTGCAGTGAAATGGGTTACCACCAAAATTGAGCACTATTGTGGATGTGTAAGGGGTAGGGCTAACTACTCCAGTTTGGGAACGAACAAAAAGAGGGTCTGGAGGTAGTGTGTGTAGCCTATTAGATGTCATGTCCAGCCTTGAAAGTTTGTATAGTTCAGAGAATGTCCCTTCCATTACATAGTCTATGAGATTATGGTCAAGATTGAGTGTATGCAGACTAACCATGTTCTGAATAGCCTCCCATGGGGCACTAATTAAATTATTATATGACAAGTCCAGGTCCTCTAAAGTAAGAATGAAATCATCAAAAGTGGCCACTGGGATTGTCACAAGCTGGTTATTATTGATAATAAGATGCTGGAGATTCAGCAATCCTCGTAAAGCTTCCTCATGAATGGATGTTAAACGATTTCCATCCAAGTGCAAAGACCTTAGGCTCTCAAGATCACCAAAGGCATAAGGTTGAATCATATCTATGGTATTTCTTGATAGAGTGAGGTCAACCAAACCTGTCATGTTGAGAAAGTCTTCTTGTGCTACCACTCGAATAAAGTTGTCAGCCAACCGTAGCTCCACAGTCCTGCGGTCTATGTTAGGTGGGACATAAAGCAGCCCCTTATTGGCACACAGCGTGCTGAGCGACTCCGAAAGGTTTTGGCAGGTACAATGAAAGGGACAAGAATGGACAATGGTCACAAGGCTTCCTACCAGCAGAACACCCCAGACCAACTTTTCCATGGTAGATTAAGTATTACCCTGTAAAGAAAAAAAAATAGGATGATGTTAATTATGTATGCTTTGTGCGTTTGCTCATTCAGTTGTTGTGTTAAAGGTATTAGTTTTGGAAATCACAATTGTAGAATTCTTGAAGTGTGTACAATGTTATTTGCAATTTCAAACAATATAATTTTCACTTTATTAATAATTAGAAATTACTGAATACATACTTTTGAGACATAAAATATAATATTTATCATAAGAATGGAATCTTTAAACTTCTTTTTCTCCCCTCCCCAACTATATTATGTCTAACATTTACTGAAACACACTTTGAGGAGATTTTCTTTTCACCAAATTGCCCCGACATTATAATCATGCTTTTTGGAAACACAAAAATGTTTTTTCCCAAAGCTGCTAATCAGATGCTTTCTTTGTAATTCTAAATATTTAAATTGTTTGGATTATTCCTGTTGTATCTACACATTTGCTTTGCACATATATTTTTGCCTACTAATTTTTGTAAATTGAAGTTATTTAGATGATGCAAATTTTTGTAGAATTTTAAAACACACAAAAATAATTTAAGTGGAAGTTGCTGTATAGGAAGCCCTATTAAGAGGCCAAACCTTACCTGTAGATTTAAAGTTATTGAACTCAGTGTAAAGTCAAAATATACAATAGCTCAACTTCAGGGGTATGGAGAGGGTAGGCACAGCCTTACTTCCTCCCCCCAAAATTCCTGAAGCAAATATTACTTTTTCTAAAGTTAGTATTAAAATAGGATCTTCAAAGGGCCCATATCTGCACTGTGATTCTACAGCAGCCATTGTTCTGAGGAAAGTTGGTATGGGTTCCTTGATCAATGGTTGATTGTTTTATTGCCTGATGGTGCCAGTATATTTCTTGTACTGACTTCACTCAGAAAAGCCAGTGGTGTGGGTTGAGCCTTTCCTTTAGTTTCCCAGGTAAGTCACCATTGACACTTCATAGCTGTCAGTAAATCTGGCATTTTTCATACTAACCATTAAATGCAAAGGGGGCCCCTCTCCTACTGACCACCAATGTTAAGGAACACTATGCTTACCAGTAATCTGAGAGAACACTTTTAACAATAAAGTTCAATCTAAAGTTGCACTACAGTACTGACCACCAATGTAAGGTCCACTACAGTTTTCTGCTGAGTTTCTTTAGTTTTAATTTAGATGTATTGTTATATACACTGATCAGTAACATTATTATGACCACTGACAAATAAAGTGAAGAAAATTGATTATCTTGTTACAATAGCATTTTAAAGTTGGTGGGAGATATTAGGTAGTGATCAAACATGTTGTCTCTGAAGCTGGTGTGTTGAAAGCAGACAAAATTGGGCAAGCATAAGAATTTGAGCAACTTTAACTAGGGCCACACTGTAATGGCTAGACTCCTGGGTCAGGGCCAAATGGCAGCTCTTGTGGGATATTCCAAGTCTTCAGAGGTCATATCCTAGAAAAAATGGTCAAAGGAAGAAAAACTGGTGAACTGGCAACAGTGTCATGGGCGGCCAAAGCTTATTGATGCACGTGGAGAGCCAAGGCTGGCCTGTGTCGTTTGATCCAATAGAAAAGCTACTGTAGCTAAAATCACTGAGAAAGTTTATACTGGTTCTGGTAGGTGTCGGAACATACAGTGCATCACAGTTTGTTGCATATGAGGCTGCTTAGCTGCAGAGCAGTCAGGGTGTCCATGCTGACCTGACAGTGTCCACAGCCAAAAGTGCCTACATTGGGTACATGAGCATCAGAACTCGACTATAGAGCAATGGCAGAAGGAGGCCTGGTCTGATAAATTTTAGAATGGCTTGAGGAACACAATAACGAGTTTGAGATGTTTACTTGGTCACCACATTCTCCTGACCTCAATTAAATCGAGCATCTGTGGTATGTGCTTTGAAAACAAGTCCGATCCATGGAGGCCCCACCTCATAACTTACAGGACTTGAAGGATCTGCTACTGATGCGTTGTGCCAGATACTACAGCATGCCTTCAGTGGTCTAGTTGAGCTCATGCCTTGATGGGTTATGGTGGGTAGTCACAATGTTATGGCTGATCTGTGTATGCTCATATAGCAAAAGGTGGGTTCACACCATATGAGGTTATAAAGCTTCTGTGAGAACCATCCCTATCTCAAGTCTTTATACAACAATCATCTACCCCAAAATCAATGAGATAAGTACTGGATTTTAAATGTACCACAAAAAAGGTATCAAATATACAAATATAAACATATGGCACCATCTTTGAAGGAGATGTGTATGCAGTGGTGAAGGTTTTTTTTCCTTATGTGGGGTATGGGAAGGCCTTGATGATGTTTTTAGCACATTGACACTTATTACAATATAGTTTCACCTGTCTTTACATATTTCCTGGTATTTTCCGGGGCTGTTTTTGGTCCTCTGGATTTGACCAATATTAACATTCTGGCCATGTTATAAGCTTGCCTTAAGGGTATATAGGGGACAGTTTAAACTTTTACCTTCTGATGTTAGTTTGTTCAAATTGGACATAATGATAAATGATACACAATACGTACATAATTATGTATTATTATGTATTCTAAGAAATAATACATAATGATAAACATCTATGCCAGTGCAAATCCTGAAGAAGCGATCTTGCATTGTGAAACGCGTCGACTTGAAGCGCTAAGTGATAATTACATCTACTTAGTATTTAATCTGATGGGGTTTAGTGACAAAATATGGCTGTTACATAGGTAATAAAATACATTTTTTCTATTTTTTGTCTATTTAATTCCTTTTGTTGTACATTTAAATTCCTATTGCAATACCCCTACACTTTTTGATACCCGCTATACAAAAATTACTTTGTAAGAATTATTTTCTTTAAATGAATACGTTTAATCAGTGTAATTTCCAAATCAAGACCTGAAGAGAAAAAAGAAAAGCCATATCAGTAGCCCCACTGCTTGTAAGTCAGTTATGTGTTTTATTTCCAGGGAACTGGCATTTTGTGCTGGCTGATAGCTAAAAAGAGTGGGAAATTTGAGTGGAGAGTGAAAAAGTTTTACTTTTGACTGCTGGTGATTGCTAGTGCTTGTAGTTGTTTTGTTTTCTTCTTTGGGTCTTGCTAAAAGCTTTTACTTTTTTAAATCACTTTTTCTGTCACTTTTTAAATAGCATTTTTTTGCTTCCTTTCCTTTTCTTCCTTCAGTCTGTTAATTAAGGGGAGGGGTTAATTGGTCACAGGTGATACAGGTCCTATATAACTTGCTGTAGTGCTCACTCTTAGCTTGCTCATTTTTGAGCTTGCCTGTATTTTGCTTGCTGGACTTTTGACCAAGTAGACATTTGTTAAGTGGAGTTAAAAAAACTGAGTTTATAACAGGAGTCTACTAACCTGTAAGTGACAACTGATATTTCCTATTAATATTGTAACTGGGATAATGTGTGCTAGCAGGATGGAAGGTTTTGTGCAGTGCACAGTGGCCGCATGTATGCAGCAATGGAGCAACAGCTCCAGGATGGATATCACTGTGACAGATGTGAGCGGGTTGCCCTTCTGGAAACTCATGTTATAGATCTGGAGGAGCAAGTTGCAACACTTGAAAAGGGTTATATGCTCTCTGAGCAGGTAGCTAATGGGATTGATGTGGAGGGTGGAGGGACTAATCAGGATTATCAGGTAGGAAGATGGGTTACTGTAAGGAGAGGGAGTGGTAGGGGCTCACAGAAAAGGAAGGCAGGCGCTGGGTTTGTGCACCCAAACAGATTTGCCAAGTTGGGTGAAGATGTGGGGGTGGCAAACTCGGGGGTGGCAGCCATGGATGTCACTGCTATCCCTAACAGTTGGGAGGGGTAGTGCAGGAAGGTCTAGACAGCTGGTGGTAGTAGGGGATTCTATAATCAGAAGGACTGATAGAATAATTTGTCACCAGGATCGCCTTAACCGAATGGCATGTGGTGACCGGGTTGATAAATTACTGGGAGGGGCTGGGCATGACTCAGCTGTCTTGGTCCATGTTGGAACCAATGACAGAATAGATGTAAGGTGGAGGCTCCTTAAGAATCAACTTAAAGAACTAGGCTGCAAGTTGAAGGGAAGGACCTCCAAGGTAATATTCTCTGAAATTGTACCTGTGCCATGCACAACTCAGGAAAGACGGGGAGATTAGAGAACTCAATGCATGGCTACAGACCTGGTGTAAGAGGGAAGGATTTGGGTTTATAGAGCACTGAGCTGACTTTTCATTGGGGTGCAACCTATATGCTAGAGATGGTTTGCACCTAAATGGAAGGGGATCTGCTGTGCTAGGGGAGAGGTTTATGGGAAGGCTGGAGGAGTATTTAAACTAGGATCGAGGGGGGAGGAAGAATTAGATTGTAACGGGGTAGACAGATCAGACAGGGGTCAATCCTTATTGGTGGGTGGAATGGGGAAAGATGGGGGAAGGCTATGTCAGATGATAAGAAGGTTCCCATGTTACAAATAACCAGTGGAATTGGTACCATTTGTATGAAAATAAAAAATATGCAAAATACGTGTGAACAAGGTGTCAATCGATTAAAGTGTTTGTTCATCAATGTCAGAAGCCAAGCAAAATAGGTGAGTTGGAAGCTTTGGTGCATGAAGAGAACCATGATTTAATTGGTATTGCTGAATCTTGGCTTCATTCTTCACATGACTGGTCCATTAATATTCCTGTCTCTGTTTTCGTTCGGAAAAACAGGGTAAATAGGAAAGGTGGTGGTGTCTGTCTATATGTGAGAAGTGATCTCAGAGAGAGTGTGAAAGAGTACCTAGTTGATGGAGAGTGTGATGAGGCTGAAATATTATGGGTGGAACTGCACATGGGAGTGCATACTACAAAGGTAAGTTTGTTATAGGCCTCCCAGTGTTAATGAGGAGGTGGAAACTCAGCTCCTTGCATGGATCAAAAGGGCTGCAAAGGCTGGGACAGTGATAATAATGAGGAATTTTAACTACCCCGAAATTGACTGAAGTAATGGTACTGCAGG